GTAGGACTCTAATCTGATAGGACTAGTGCTCTCGTAAGAAGAGGAAGAGATACTAGAATTCTCTCTCTGCCTGCCCTGTGTTTGTACACTCAGAGGAGAGGTCATATAAGGACCCTAGGGAAAAGGCGGACATCTGTAATTCGGAAGAGTGCTTTCAACACAAACCCAACCCTGCCAGATCTTAATCTCAACTTCCAGCCTCCAGAACTAGAGAAATAAATTTCTGTTGTTTAAGTCACCCAGCCTCTGGTACTTTGTTATAGTAGTTGAGCAGACTAATATACTAGGGGAGTATATTGGAGGGAAAAAAGGACAAGATATCTGAAAGTATATGCAAGGAAGTGAATACAGTTATGGACCCTGAAGTCTAACCAGATAAGGAGGGAAGTGAACATGGTGATAGGGATGGATGATGGATAGCAAAAGTTAAATAAGGTCAGTGGATTGGAAGTCTTGGTGCAGTTGAGGTGTTAATTGGAAAATAGGATAGTAGGAGAGTAGGATGTTTGACATTAAGATTATGGAGTAGATTTCTCACCGGTAATGGCAAGGTCTAGGAGTATGAATGTAAATGGAAGACAGAATCATTGAAGACGAGGAGTCAGAGAACTGAGAAATCAAGATATTGAAGGGAGTGTCTGTATGTATGGATACTGAAATCACTAAGAATAATTACTGGAGGAATGATGGAGAGAAAGGCAGAAATTCAAAAGGCAAAATGCTCAAGGAGTAGATGTAGATTTAAGTACATAGATTTGAGTGATATTTAGAATCAAAATCAACAGGAATTGGTCATGAATTAAAATGAAATGGGGGAAGGCTAGGGAGAGGGAGCCATTAAGGATAACTCATTGGTCTCTGACTTGAGCCACTGGATGAATCATTGATAAGTTAGAGAAGGCTGGGAGAAGATCAGAAGATTGATCTTGGATATACTGAATTTGAAGTGAACTTCCAAGTGAATATTTAAGTGAAGATATTGATTGGTGGGCTAATATTATGGTCTGGTGCTCAGTGGCGGGGCTTATCCTAGAAATAGAGATCTGTGAAGTATCTGATGATGGGTGGTAATTGATTCCACAAGAGTGATGGCATTGCCTTGGAAGTAAGGGTGCAAAGAGGAGAAGAGAAGTCTAAGACTGGGCCATGAGTAATTTTAATATTTAACTAGCAAGATGAGGAGTAGGAGCATTCAAGGGAGACTGATTAGGAAGTAGAGAGGTAAATAAACCAGGGGAGCGTGAAATCACAGAAGCCAAAAGAAGGGGGAGACGAACCATGAGAGACGATGGACTCTGAGAAACAAACTGAGGGTTCTAGAGGGGAGGGGGTGGGAGGATGGGTTAGCCTGGTGATGGGTATTAAAGAGGGCACATTCTGCATGGAGCACTGGGTGTTATACGCAAACAATGAATCATGGAGCGCTACATCAAAAACTAATGATGTAATGTATGGTGATTAACATAACAATAAAATTTTTTTTAAAAAAAGGAAGATGTAGCCAGTAGTGTTTAAAGTTGACAAGGGGCCCCGTAGAGTGAGAACATAAAACTATCTTTGGAATTAGTGACATGGAGGCCATTGGTAACCTTAGTGAAAACTTCCTTAGTGGACTAAGGAAGTAGAAGATAAATTAGAGATAGGTAATTGAGGCAGAGGTGAGGAAAAGAAGAAAGGAGACAGCAAGGTAGACCACCATTTCAAGAATTTTGCTTGCTAAAAGGGAAGAAAAGTGTAGCAGTTGGAGGGATCAGTGGGATTAAGGATGGAGGTATATTGTACATATGTATATTTGTATTATTTTGGTATATATATATATATAAAACATTTTTATTTTCAAGATGGTAGAAACGTGAGCTTATTTAAATCTGAATGAAATATATATATAAAATTTGGAATTTTAATATGTTAGAAAAATGTAAATGATGGTAGAAAAGTAGGAGGGGATGGGATCCTCATTGCAGGTGGTAAAATAGAGGACTAACATTTCCTCTACACTAACAGGAGGCAAAAGGAGCTAGACTGCCCCAGGGCTCAGTCTCAGTGATCTTACTGTGTTTATCTTTTCTCTCTGTGTGTGATCTAATCCTTTCTTACAAGAACGTATTGTGAAGGGTGGGTGCATTGGGTTTTATGCTTTCAAAACAGCAGAGAGACACTAGGAGTATACCAGTTCTGTCTTTTCCTGAATGCAGGCTTGCGTGGTGTGAGAGAGGAAGCAGCTACCACTTGAGAAGATTGTGGAAGAAGCAGCCCTGCTAGGCTTTGGCTAAGGAAAGGGGGGCACTCAGAAAAGACAAGGAAAATGTAGGGGTGTTTGCCATTAATGAGAGCACAGTGGAAGCTTTGGGTGGATCATAATGACTGAGAAAATGTTTGTTATTGCAAGAAGATAATTTTCAACCCCAGATCAAGCAGTTTAGCAGAATGGTGGCGGTTACTGTGGAAGATTATAAAGTGAAAGGCAGACTCTTTTCTCAAGGAATTTGGCTGTAAGAGAGAAGAGGAAAATAAAAATCAAATTCTATTTGATTTTTTTTATCTTTATAATCTAGCTTATATAATTATTTATGTGATTTTATTTCCATGTTGTTTCTTAACATGATTTCTATTCAGGTTGATATTTTGGTATATAGTTCTTTATTTTTTAAGTTTTCATTTAAATTCCAGTTAATATGCAGTGTAATATTCATAAATAACACTTTCTAAAGTTCTTTCTTCTGAGTCATTTATTCATACTTTTCCCTCCTGCCCTTTAAAACTTTTCTCTACCTTTATGACCACAGCTCTTCCTGTAAGACAATTCAAATGTATCTCTCAACTGTCTCTTTGTTTTATATTTTTTCATTATGAAGTAATTAATGTTTATTGTAAAACCATTTTCAAAAGATATGAAATTATAAATTTAAAATAACTATATAATACCATCACTCAGATATATCATGCTGTGTCTGTTATTTTTAACACCAATACTTCCAGAGTTGATATCTTTTTATTCCACTCAGTATTTATAATAACAAAATTTTAATGGCTGTCTAATATTGCATGGTATAGATATACCATAATTCACTTAAACATTCTCTTAATATTAGCTAACTTACATAATTTCCATTTTTCCTATTGTAAATAAAACATCTTTTATATAAATCCTCGTCTACAAAGTTAATAACACCTTTAGGGCAAAAATCCTTTAGTAATTCTAAGAGTAAATGGTTTTTAAAGGCTCTAAATATATAGAGATGGATTATTTTCCAGGAAGGCTATAATAGATTATCTTCTTCTAGGCAGCATTTGTGAGTGTATAAAGTACCACTGCATTGTTAGCATAGAGTATTGAAAAACAAAATCCAATTTCCTGGGTGGATAAATGTTTTTCCATTAGGATATTCATCTACTTTTGTTTGATTACTAATTTCATTGAATGTTTTTTCTTCCAGTTATTGATCACTGGAATTTTTTCTTCTTTGTATTGTCTATCCATGCCCTTTACCTGTAAAACATAGTTTTTTTTTTTTTTTAAAAAAGTGTATTGGTTTTAACTGAATTGTAAAAGATCATTAGTATTGTGACTCCAATTACAGAAATTCATTACATGCTAATTATATTGCCTTGTATTATATTTGTTATTTTCATCCTGTTGTCTTCCCAATAAGTTATATTGCACCTATCATAACCTTTACTTAATAATCTATCCTCAGAATTCCTATAGCACACTAAAGTCTCACTCTACAATCTTAAAATTTCTTTAGTCTTGTGTAGTTCATTAAATAGTTTCTCTCATATTAGTCTTTTATTGCCAGAGAGATAGTATCTTAAGAACTGTTATAGGAAATATGTTAATACCATTTCTGCATTTAAAATTGATATTGTGTTATTTGACTTCTGATTTGTTTCTGAGATTATCATTATGTATATGCTGATCAAAATGTTTAGCAAATTAATCATTGTATGTTGGTTACCATAACATTCTAGAAAAATTTATGTATATTTAAAGTCCTAGGGAATGGATTATTTTTCTTGATATTATCTTTATGCTTGTAGTAAGATGTGGAAAAAATATCCCTGGGGTATATTAAAATTATTTCAAAAGTTTTAGGTTTCTATATTAAAGAAATATCTTTTGAGTATGTTACTTGAATCATAGTTAAGTGAAAGGTGGTGTGAACCATCTGATGAATGATTTTTTTTCATGTCAAGCAACCCAACTTTTCTGAGCATGCTGGCTTTGTAAGGATTTATAGTTCCTTGCCTTCATGCTGGAGTTACTTCAGCTTTCCGTGATGCATTCCAACTAATCTGGAGGTTAAGGCATTCCTTGATCATGGATAGATCTGATTGCTACTCAGCCCTGGAATTCTTTATAAAATTCCAGAACGTGGGCTAGAAATTGACTTAGGGAATCCAATAAAGTTGCAAGTCTTGGCAGCCATCCAAGCTAAATTTATAGACTGGAAGATATATGGGCTTTCCATTGTTCTCTTTTTCACCTTTCTGGGTTTCTTTTGTGTGTATGTGAGTGTGTGAGTATAAATTTATCATTTTGCTGACAATGGAGTGGAAATAACCATTAAGAGAATCCAGCTAAAGAATTTTCACTTTGGATCTTCCCTGGTCTTTCCAAATTTTGACCCAAACCCGCACCAAATTGAATTTCTTCTTCCTCTGTAGGATGTTGTTTTCATAAAATAAGAAGTTGTTCTTGAAAATGAATCATGCTAGTATAACAGATGATATGCATATTTGCTAGCTAGGTATAACTCCCGAATCTCTATTCTTCCCCTTGCTGTGTAGGAGCCTTCTTTCTGAGACATGATCTGATAAAATGTGATCATATATATTGTTTCTGTTCATTCTCTGAAATGGCAATGGGGTCAAGAAAACAAGCTCCGAAGCCTCTTAGAGACTTGAATCTTTTCCTGTATGCCTGATGCTCTGTAGTATATGAAGATGCAAGCAATCCTCCCATATCTGATCATTGAAAGCCTGTCTTGTTTTTACAGAATGGGTTTGCTGTTGTCAGGCCTCCAGGCCATCATGCTGAAGAATCCACAGCCATGTAAGTACCAGGGACTGTTGCCCATCTCCAAGCGCCACGGTTCCTGGCGGTCACCTGCCCCGTGCATGTCTCTGAAGCCTCTAATTGTTAGCAGATGGACTGAAAAATCTTGCAAGGTACTCCCAGAAGCAGATTTATGGCTTCAGAGATCATATAGCATTTTAAAAAATGCTCTGAACATTATTTATAATGGTTTTCCTGGCTGATTTGCTTTCTTATTTCTCTGTTCTTCTCTATTCCGCAGGGGGTTCTGCTTTTTTAATTCAGTTGCAATTACCGCCAAATACTTGAGAGACCAACTAAATATAAGCAAGATATTGATTGTAGATCTGGTATGTATTCCTGGCCAGAGCTGCATTTCAGTGACTCTAGATAAAAGGGAGTGTATTTGTATTTCTGTGTTAGGTTGTCCTGCTTTTAGCACTTGCAAACAACTGAAGGGTGCGTTTCCTTTGAATGTGGAAACTCATTAAATTCAGGATTGCAGTTCTGAAACCATAAACATTCACGTTTCACTTTCTTGGTGTTAACTGCAATTTAATGAGAAGAAGGCGCAGATCAGGGCAACTTTTATGATCCTTAAATGAATTGATACTTCCACAGTTAAAATAACCCAACAGAACCTGAATTTACTTTTCCCTGCAGAATATAGACTTTAAATAGTCAGATGTGCTGGAAAGAATGCTGTTGCTTTGGTAACCAATTGGCCACTTCCCCTGGTTAGCAATCATGTTGTTTGTTGTGCAACAGTGGTATTATTAAAACAAGTCAGCATGTCATTCTTTCTGAAAAGATCCGAGATCATGTATGCCAGTTTGGGATGACTCCCGGCAGAAACCTTGAGTGGTTAAAAGTCAGAGGCATTAGATTAGTCTTGCATTTTAACGTGATGCATTCTTACACAATAGAGTTATAATTTGCTTAACAAATGGTTTGTTTAAATGCAGATGACACTTGGCATGTTGTCTATAGTATGTTCATGAATAATGAGCTGGAGATCTGCCCCATACAAAAAGGCCAACCCAGGAAAGGGCGAGAGAGAGCTGACTGGTGATTTATGAGCCCCGTTTTCGGTTTGCCTCTAGTTCACGAGGAGGTGTAATAGGTTGTCTGACAAAGCATAGACAGGAAATGAACCCTGGCATCCAAAGCGAACCTGCTACATCTGCACTTAATTAATTTTTGCAGGTGATAAAAGATTTAAAGGCAAAATATGTTAAAGGTTTTTTTGAAGTGCAAGGCTTAATAGTCTAAATCTTGTTCATATCTGCACTCATAATTAAATCTTATTGGGAAGTCATGGCCTCACCATCCAGTCCTCTGATTCAGTTAAGCGAGGGAACTAAAGGGTTTTAGAAAGCACAAACAAAGCCATGTGAAGAAATACTTAGTTGAGTTGAAAAGAAGATAAAAGGAATGAAAGACTGATAACCATTTCTGATGCTTGGTAGGAATGGATGTTTCCACATACTGTATCGTCACCTCCCCACAAGCACTTGGTGCTAAGAACTTTCCATGTATTTTCCAAATATGCTTGAGTTTCACTATAGGTCATAGTTCACCATTAAAAAAATGTGTTGAAGGCCTAGATATACTACAACAGCAAGGTCTTAAAGGTCTTAAAATTTTACAAAAATGAGAACATCAGTACCTCTATTCCCATGTACATACAAAATGACATTTTCATTAATTGGTAATTATAGATTTGCATGATATATAAGATAGTAAATTTAAAAAGTAATTTAATATAATTCTAGTACTATAACTTCTGCTAGAAAGATAAGCCAAGAACTTGAAGAAAGGATAGCAGATGAAGACCAAGGATTGTGGGAAAATTTTTCTAAGCTTTCTAAATTTGTCAAAATTATGCAGGAAGGAGATTGATAAACTGTCCTATCCTTAGAAATCTTTTAGTATTACTTTCTAAGGAATCTCCTCTGCTATAATTTTATGGTTCTCTGAAGATAATAATTGTTAAGAGTCTCTTTGAAAGCACATTTGGGATATCCAAACTCTAAAGTAATGAATTATACAATAGACTTGAAAGCTAAAATGTCTTGCTTGTGATAGATACCCCACAGGATTTGTCTGTAAAGTTTTGTTTTTATTTATATATAATATATATCAATATTAAATATATAATGTTTATGATCTTATATATTAATATAAAACTGCTCTAGATAATTCAATATGATTTACAAAATAAGTTGATTGGGAGCTCCAAGGAGTGTCCTGTAAGCTTACTGGCCTTTGATTGTATATTTGCTCTGTTATCCAATCATTAAGGATACTGATTTCCCAGCAGGCTGTAGTAGAGGAGAAGTTTTTGTTTCAAATCCTCCAAATATAGGAAGTTCTGTCCAAAGGGTTGCCTCTGAGATCACCACCAGCCTGCATATTCTTACTTTCAAGTCTTCCAAATTCTGCAGCTGCAGGGATACTTTGAGGAAATTCCCTTGTTTCTTCCAGCTGCTGAGAAGGAAGTTTTAAAGTGCCACGTGGCGCAGAAACATCCGTTCTCCCTGGCTGACAGGTCTCTTCTGCAAGTTAGCAAAGGAGAAGTGAAGGTTCTTCAATGGCAAAAGAATTTCATTCCTGCATACCCGAAGTCACTAACTTCAGCTAATCAGTGTGAACTAGCTCCACAAATTCTTGGGCCAACAGAGGGCAAAGCTACTCCATTGTCCACAACTAGTTTCAGCATTTTTATATGCCTAGTAAATAGAGAGCCAGAGCTCTAATTCACCTCCTATTTGGGGCCACAGCCAAATTCAGAGGCATTGAGTATTTGGGGCAGGAATGATTCTAGTTGATATGTGGAGCTTATTCATTCCAGTTCTCCATCTGGGGAGATTCCAGAGACATTCAGATTGGTGAGGAGAGGGAGCAGGTGCACTTGCTTTTCAACTCACAAAAGACTGTTCATTGTGTTTGGGGCATGAAGCATCCCCGAAAGTAGGATTTGCATGCATGACTCAGGTAGCTTTTATGCAATGTGACTTTAAGTTGAAAATAATACATTTTAGACTTAATTCATTAAAAAGTCACTTCAAGTGTCCTAGATTTGGGGTAAATCCATTTTTAGTTAAGCACCAAATTTAATAAAAGAATTGTCGCAGGTGCCTGTACTAAATAATTATAAGTGTTAATATTAGCTGATCAAATAGATGATTTAGTTAAAGCTATTTTAACATTATAAGAGAACATATTGGTTCTAAATCCTTATGGAAAATAAATTTTCACAGTATATTTTTAACCAGTAAGAATACTAAAATTATTTTTCAGCATTTCCCAGTAAATTTTAGAAATAAGGTCTATTTTGAGTCATTTAATTATTCAGTTCATCTCATTACTTTAATAATTCCTCACAGTCACCAATAATTTTCTTACATTAGTCTAGTGTATATTTGTTGCTATGGAGAGAAAATCCTCAGATCATACCTGAATAGTAAGTACTTTTTATGAATATTTTGCAGCAGAGAAAGCTGAAAAAGTATTCTCAAGATTATATTATAAATTGTTGCCCAAAACTAAAGGTATATTTGGATTTACCTTTATTCCTAAATACTTTGTGAATGTGAACATGAAATCAAGAATTATCCAAGTATTTTTAGAATGGATTTGTGTATTTTAATGAATAATGTTTGTTGAACCCTTATTAGACTGTGGGCAAGACTATATTTCTTATTCAGAAATGTATGCAGTAAGTACCCAACACATTTTTCAAGACCAATGATTTTATATCTCAGACAATTTATCATCTTTTATTTGACCTTTTTAAATAAACCTTTACAACATCACTAAAGAAACAAAAGTAATCAAGGCATTATTTTTCTGGTTTTCAAAGTGTAGACCCATTTAGGGCCAGAGCAAATTTTTCTTACAGTGCTGTAAGAAATCTGTCATGTAGTAAAAAATCTATCATGTAGTAAAAATGCAGACATTCCTTCATTGTTGTTTTTCATAGTATCTTGTTTGTCCATCCTCTAGGTATCCAGTAGCAACTCAAAAGACAATGTGGGTTAGTTTCATTTTTGTTCAGATAAAGGAAAATAGTTTTGCTATCTCTGCCTTCCTTTTTTTTAATTTTTAAACATTCAGAAATCCAGGGATTAGTATATTTTCAGTAAGCTATTTTCCCCCCCAGTGTGTATGCCTTGAGCCAAAACAAATTTCTGGATGCATACCTTCCCCAACATATTATGATTCCTTAATTGATTTTTGGATATGTGTTTAAGAGGAGGAGATGATTAGTGTATGTCTACACTGTGGATAGCAAGTTCAGTGCAGGCTTTCAGAATCCAACAAAGGGAGGCTTTGGTGGTATTTAGTGAGGGAGTTCTGGGTTAGAGGTTGAAGTGAAGACAAGTTATATAAACCTCAATAAGGAGCAATGATGACCACCACTCTTACTTCACAGATTTGCTAAGAGGATCAAAGAGGTAATGAATATTAAGTATAAGTTAATATATGATGGTTATGAGTTGAGAGTAAGAAATGGATTCAAGACCCACTCTTGCAACTTTTCCTCTGTATAGTCTTGGTAAATTACTGAAACTCTCTGAATCTCAGTTTACTTATCTTTTAAATTAGGGATAATATCGTATATGTCATATACTTGTTAGTAATCCATACAAGCTGTTTAATGTAATGCCTGATGCAAAGTTGTAGGAATCATTGTTGAAACTAATAGGATTTTTACTGATATAAAATAAAGTACAATGTAAGTCTATAGTTACAAGTGACTAAAACTTGTTTTAAAAAAACTTGAAATTATATGTTACACATGTAGCAGTAATATTATTTTGAATACAGATATGTAGATCATTCACTTTTGAGAGCTTTTTATTTTATTTTGTTCAGGAGATACTAGGAAGCATATTAATTGAGATTCTTAACACTTGAGGTCCTCCAGTGAAGACGTTTTTTAAAATGCTATTAGTTTTATTTTTCCCATTTCTTTCATCAATTCCAGCATACGTCTATATCATAAAACTACAGAACCAGCAAATAACTGTTAAGAGTTCAATCATTATCATATACAGATGTCCTAAGAATTTTTTCATTCATTTTAATGATACAGGGTTTGTTTTTGTTTTTGTTTTAGTTTTGTTTTTTTTGTAGGAAGGGATAGTATGGTGTGGGGGGAAAAAAAGAAAAGGAAGGAGGCTAGGGAAGAGAGCCATGATATAATACCAAAATTAGGCGGATTGGACAAGATTGCATGAAGCTCTGTGCCATCTTTTTGCGTGGCCCAAAAGATTTAATAGCTGATGAGCTCATGCTCCTGTGTCTTCTACTCTTGCTGTCACGATTTTACCAAAATAAAATATGAAGTCCTTTTTGCATCTGGCGTCTCTTTTGAAGTGATTCTAACTGCTGAGGGATTGCTAACTGAACTGAATGCTCCAAGAAGGCCAATTTACTCAGCTGGCTGCAAAGCCTTTGACCTTAATGGTGGGACTTGGCAAATCAGTGCATACACGTATGTTCAGTGTTCTGTCAAGAATTGCGAAAATGCTCTGTAAGCCATAGATCCTTCTGCAAAATACTTGTTTGTAGTTTAAACATTAGTCTTTCTTCAGAGGCCAATGAGGCTAGTTAATTAAGCCTGAGGGGTTATGAACTGTTGGCAGTTAATAAGTCATAAAATTCCTCCATAAAACAGGATGCGAGATTCCATCACTGAAGCAAAGAGTACAAAGGGCCGGTGTATAAATATCTAATTGTACCAAAGGACTGGGCTTTCTCAATGACTGCTCATCTGGAGTCTCCAGGGCATGTTCGCTGTGGTTTCCTGATTTTTAGAAGCCAGTTTAAAAAATGAGTGCATTAAAGGGTAATTTGCCTGAAAGTTCAGGAAGTAAAGGGGGTGGTGTGGAAGCAAGCTGAAAGGAGAAAGAAGGAGGGACATAGTGAGAAGACAGAAAATGAGAAGGAGGGTGGGGAAAAAAGGGAACTAGAAATAAGAAAAGTTGTCTCCACGCAGAGTTAACATGACTGTATTTGTCCTCTGTTTTCTTTTCCCTGTAGGATGTTCACCATGGAAATGGTACACAGCAGGCCTTTTATGCTGACCCCAGCATCCTGTATATTTCACTCCATCGCTATGATGAAGGGAACTTTTTCCCTGGCAGTGGAGCCCCAAATGAGGTTCGGTTTATTTCTTTAGAGCCCCACTTTTATTTTTATCTTTCAGGTAATTGCATTGCATGATTACCCCTAATTTTCTTGTCCTTTTCTGGTGTTTTAAATTACACGAGATTACTGAATTGTCCCATGGGACCAAGAACCAGTGCAGAACAAGTGCATAACCCAGAGCACTGGTTGTCAAGCAAAGTTGGGCTGATTTGACACGTTGTTTGATGTTTATTTCAAGAGCTCACATGTGTTTGTTTTCCTCACTTTTTGCTTTCTTCCCTGCATCCTCCTCTACCCACTGTGTTGTGTTGTTGTTTTTTTTTTCTTCCTAGGTTGGAACAGGCCTTGGAGAAGGATACAATATAAATATTGCCTGGACAGGTGGCCTTGATCCCCCGATGGGAGATATAGAGTACCTTGAAGCATTCAGGTTGGTACTTCTTTTTCTGAAAGTGGCAAATTAGAAATGTCTATTGAAACAACACCAAATGTAAAAGAGAAATATAAGTTTTAAACAAGGGAAAGTGGCTAAAGGAGCCATTCCATTAAAGGTCCAAAAAATGTTTTGTTTAGGGGACCTGGATATAGCTACAAAGCCACATAAAGAATATGTGTCAGAAAAAAGGTACATCAAGACCTAGTTGTAGTTGTACAGGTATATTGGCCAGTGACCCAGGCATGTTACCCCCTCTCTGCAAAAAAGATAAGGAAAAAAGATTTATTAAGTAGTGCTGGAAATTTGTGCCTATTCTAGCATATGTTGTGATTTAGAATGGACATTAGCATATTAGATGCTCTGATAAGGCCTTCATTACCTACTTAACTTTGTTGAACAGGCATTTCCCAAACTTCATTAGACTACAGATTCCCTTTTGCACATAGCACCACTCAACATTCTTGGTTCTGCAGAGCTAGCTTACTTTTGGAATGTTGGCCTAGACAATCTCATTTCATGGTAGAGTAAATGACTTTTCTCTTGCATAAAATATTTTACGTCTCACATTAAAACATCAACTGATTAATTATGTTTTCAGTTCTCTACAAAATGTAGGCAGTAATTGAAATGTATATTTATATATACATAGTGTATTCTACTTTGTCCTTCTAAACAAAGAACTTTTAAAATTAAGCAAGAAATGCAACGAATCAAAAGCTTTCTTTTTGAATATTGAGGTTTTGTTAAAAAAGTCATTTTTATTCTCTAGAGTTAAAAAAGTATGTTTAGTCCTTGGAAAGGACTGTTTTATGGAGAACTATCAGATTGTGTTAATATGTACCCACTTGCAATATTTTAGGAGATTTTAACCTATTGGTAATGCGTGATTTCAGGGGTGTTTTGTTTAGTTGAAAGCGAAAACAACTACATAAGAGATCTTAGAAGCATTATTTTTAAATTTATCATTTATAAGTTCCCAAGGGGGGATATTCCATTGCTAATGTATTTGAAACTTAAGGAAATAGTAGGCAAATTTTTCAATAAGTGAAGTTTGGGTGAGTTTCTGCTGTCCTATATATAATGCATTCTTCAATTTTTCATGTGAGAGTCATTTTTCATTTGAAGATAGGCCCAGGAAAAATGACAGAAAATCACTATTTTCAAGAAAATACATTAAAAGTCATCACTATTTTCAAGAAAATACATTAAAAGTAAATATATTTGGTTTTGTTTTAGGATACTAAGGAAAATTCTACACACATTCCAGGTTTTTATTTAAAAAAATACATATATTCAAATATCTACACTATTTATAGAAAAAAATAGCTGAAATAAGTTTATTTGCTTAAAGACATGTTGTTTATGAAGATATTTTAGGTTAATTTACAATAAAACTAAAAAATTGCATTAAGAAACTTTAGGAGTTTCATTATTATAAATTCTGTTTACCTAAATTTGCAACTTCAGAAACATTATTAATATCTTAAAGGAACTCTAATGGGATAATAGACTTTAGTATTATATCACATATGAATTCATTTGTTTACCAAGCTAACTTGATAACTTGCATGATACACACATTAAATTCTCAACCTTACTATAACAAATGATTATATACCACTGATCTATAATACCAAATTCTTAGTTTTTTATTATCATAATACTATTTGGGGTACATGGCTTTACTTAAAAATGGATTATGCATACCCAGCAGGGAAGGAGAATTTATATTTTGTACTACTTGTTCTCACATCACAAAGTGAATGATGGGTGGTAAGAATGTTTACAAAGAACCCCTTTGAACACAACAATTTCATTAAATAATTAGATAATGTGAAAACAGATATTAAGTATATGTTACTGTTTTTTGAATGAAATGATAAGTGAATCAAGTGCTCCTGAAAGTGACTTAACGTCCTCAAGAATGGCACCTTCTCTTTGCCTGAATGTGGACCCTATATTAGCAAACTTTTCTGTAGTTCCCAGTGCAGTCACCATATCTAAGCTTAAATAGAGGAGGCAATATTATTTAGCTAGATTGCAGAAATGTAAAACTGTAGCTTTTAATATTTATAATTATTTAAGAACCAGATTTAAACCATAATAATTCTGTTAATTTTGAACTATACTGTGTTTGCCATTCAACTTGTATGACTAGAAGTACTTGTGAACTTGTTATAGAGGAATCAAGAAAGTAAGTCATCCATTCAAAAACATTCATAGAAACATTATATGCCAGGCACAGTGATGAGCCCTTGGAATTTTGAGCTGACTTGCTTTCAAGCATCATAAAAGAAGTGATAACCCACTGTTCTAGAGAATGGATGTGCTTAGACATAAGAGAGGATAAAATGATGAACTCTTCCTGCAGGGTTTCAGGAAAGGCTTTATCAAGGATTGTTCGACCTGTGCTTTCAAGGATGAGCAGGAGTTTCAAGGGGTAAAGGAATTGGAGTGGGGCGAACTCATAATAGAAAGAGAGAATACTATGAAAAGCATGGAGTCATGAAATGATCTTGCTCTGTTGGCTTAAGAGCATAAGGGTGGGATTGCCTGGCAGGAATAGAGATCATACTCCATAAACTCTTTTGTTGGCAAAGAATCGGAATATATAAAATCCTTTCTAATCTGGGGCTTTAGTGAGATATACTCCAGAATAATTTTTGATGTAGTATTACCTTATAAGCATATACTTAGTAATATAGCCCTTGTTTCCCAGTACTAAAACTGAAGATCTTTTTGGCATCTTTTGTGGGTACACAATATGGAGATGGAGGAAAAAATTAATGATGCCTTTTCTTTTTTCTTAATTTTTAATTGTTTCTGGACTGTGATAAGTATCTTTGAAGGGAAGGCTTCTCTCTGTAAAGCTATAGGGGGATTTAAGATGGCTGCTTATTTTACCAACCTACATTTGTCACATATATTATTCTTGTGGTTTCTATTATGTATTTCTTCTATAGCAAAAAGAATTTCGCAGGCAAACAAAACGTTTTCATGTTTGCTGTAAGCTTTAAAGATAATTTAAAAAATTTAATAGAATATCTAAATTAGTTCACATAACTAGTTATTTCTTCCATGTAGTTACTGTTTATCCCTAAAATTATTGAAGGATAGATTTAAGATTTTTCATTAGTTTTTAAAATGTTCAGTAATGTAAAATATCTTTTATGTGGAACTAAAATGTATTCCAAGGCTACCATTTTATAAAATAATTATGGCTGTTTTGATTGAGGTCTTACATGCCAGGTCCTAGATTAGAAATTTTATTAAAATTATGGCTAATTCTTAAGTGGTTTGTATAAGCCACAGAATTTCTAATTGTAAGGACCATGGTGTGAACTCAGTTTATGGCTCTAAAATCTGTCACACCACATTGCTGCTCTTTTCTACTATTCATGACTTAAAAGATTGAAGAGTGATAAAACACAGTAAACTTTTACCAAAATATAAGACCTTCACCCCCGATCTAAGTCACAAATGTTTAGTACACAGCATGGCAAAGAAGAGCTATTCAGTAATATTGGCTGAATAAATCAAAGAATAAATGAATGAGTCAAAGAGAGAAGGAATGATACTGGCTACAGTAGAAGCATTGGAAACCCCTGGTATTAAGTGAACCTAGCAGAAGTCTGAAACCTAACTATCTCTTGGCCCTTCAAGGAGTATACTTTACAAGGAAATTTGAACACCCATTCATTTGCTTATAATATTGTCAGGTGTCTTCTCTTCCATTCAGTAAATATATTGAATGCCTGCTAAGCACTCTCTGTTTCAATCACTTCAAAATATTGTTTCCAGGGGCACCTGAGTGGCTCAGTCAGTTAAGCATCTGACTCTTGATTTCGGCTCAGGTCATGATCTCAGGGTCCTGAGATGGAGCCCCACATCAGGCTCCATGATGAGTGTGGAGCCTGTTTAAGTTTCTCCCTCCTTCCCTCTCCCTCTACTCCTCCCCCTGCTCACACACACACACACACACTCTCTCTCTCTCTCTAAAAAACCATATATATATATATATATATCAATTATTCTCATCTGTAGTGACTAGATGAGCACTGGTTACATATTTTTCTAAAGATTAATTCTTTAAGAGTTCTGCAAATGTTAGAGTGATTATTTATATAAAACCATTTAAATAGTTTGTAGTGGACAGGAGACAGTATCTCATGCTTCTAATTAAATCTAATGAGGGCAACATCTCTGAGTGTTTAAAAAAATGAGTAGCAACTTCCAATGTGGTAAGATACTAGCAGTTCTTGAAATTTGCCTATTTTATCCAACAAATGAATGAATGACAACCCCTTTGTGGCTTTTTAATTTCAAAAATAAAGTACAAGCCCCTTAAATTCAGAAGGTTTTGTTGAAATAATAAATGATTCATTGGGCGCACAATGAGAACTATTTAAAAGAGTGGAATAGGGGCACGTGGGTAGCTCAGTCGTTAAGCGACTGCCTTCGGCTCAGGTCATGATCCCAGGGTCCTGGGATTGAGTCCCACATCGGGCTCCCTGCTCGGTGGGAAGCCTGCTTCTCCCTCTTCCACTCCTCCTGCTTGTGTTCCTGCTCTTGCTATCTCTGTCAAATAAGTAAATAAAATCTTCAAAAAAAAAAAAAAAAGAGTGGAATAGAACTGTTGGTATGAGTTCCTTAGATTCAAACAAGTTGTGATTTAAAAAATAACAACTCTTGGGGCACCTGGGTGTCTCAGTTGGTTAAGTGTCTGCTTTTGGCTTACAGCATAGGCCATGATCCTAGAGTCTGGGATTTAGCAGCAGCACTTTGGGGCTCCTTGTTCAGCAGGGAGCCTGCTTCTCCCTCTTCCTCTGCCCCTCCCCCCAGCTCCTGCATGCAAGCGTGTGCGTGCTCTCTCTCTCTCTCAAATAAATTAATAAAATCTTTAAAAAAATAACAACTCTCCAAGCCAATGTGTTATAGTCTATAGTACCGTAATTAATATGTGTTAATGGTGAAGATTTCCAAAAGGCAAAGGA